GATAATACGGGCTGCTGAATTCTGGACCAGTTGCAGTTTATGAAGGAGTTTGTTGGGGAGACCATAAAGAAGTGAATTGCAATAGTCGATACGGGAGGTGACGAGGCTGTGGACGAGAATGGCGGCAGTGTGAGGGGTCAGTGAGGGACGAAGACGGTTTATGGAACGTAGATGGAAGTATGCTGACCGAATTAAGTTATTAATGTGAGCCTGAAAAGAAAGGGAGCTGTCGAGAATGACACCCAGACTCTTGACATGAGGTGAGGGGGAGACTGTGGCACTGTCAATAGTTAAAGAAAAGCTGTCAGATGTTGAGAGGGTGGAGTTAGTGCCAACTAGAAGAAGTTCAGTTTTATTGCCGTTGAGTTTGAGGAAATTAGAGGTGAACCATGATTTGATTTCAGAGAGGCAGAGTGTAAGGGAGGATGGTGGGAGAGTTGAGTTGGGCTTACTGGAAATGTAGAGCTGGGTGTCATCTGCAAAGCAGTGAAACTGGATATTGAATTTGCGGAAGATTTTGCCGATAGGGAGGAGATATACTATGAAGAGGAGGGGCCCCAGGACAGAGCCCTGGGGCACACCTGACTTGACTGGGGAGGGTTCTGAGGTAAAGGATTTTAACTGGATGAACTGAGTGCGGCCAGTAAGGTAAGATTGAAACCAGCGGAGGGGGGTGTGAGTGATGCCTAAGGAATAGAGTCTATTAAGGAGGATGGGATGAGAAATGGTGTCAAAGGCCGCACTCAGATCGAGGAGAATAAGAATAGAGATTAAACCAGAATCAGCAGCAATGAGTAGGTCGTTAGTGATCTTGATGAGAGCTGTTTCTGTGCTGTGGTGGGGACGGAAGCCAGACTGAAACTGTTCATAAAGGTTATTGCGGGTGAGATGTGAATGGAGCTGAGATGCAATAGTTTTCTCAAGGACTTTGGAAATGAAGGGAAGATGGGAAATGGGACGGAGGTTATTGAAATCATTGGGATCTAAACCAGGTTTTTTTTAGAATAGGGCTGACTGAAGCGGATTTGAATAGGGATGGGACCGTACCAGAGGATAGTGAGGAATGAATAATGGCTGTTATAAAAGGGAGCAGAGAAGAAAGGCAGGATTTAACTAAAACAGTTGGAATAGGGTCCAGTTGACAGGTGGAAGGTTTGGATTTGGTGATGTAATCTAATATTTCTGAGGGATGGGGAAGTTCAAAGGAGGAGAACGGAATGGTGGGTTCAAATAAATCAGGAGAGGGAGGGGAGGAATGAGGTAAAGAGAGATGGATTCTATTGACCTTCTCATTAAAAAACTGAAGGAGAGAGTTACAGGTTTCTGAAGAGTAAAGATGGATGGGTAAGGAGTCGGGAGGCTGAAAAATGCTGTTCATGATGGAAAATAATGTTTTAGTGTTGCTGGAGTTGGACGAGATGAGACCGGAGTAATACTGAGATTTGGCATGGGAGATGGAGTCCTTGTAGAGAGAAATCTGAGCAGAATATAAGTCTTTATGGATGGTGAGACCGGTTTTCTTGTAGAGTCTTTCAAGCCTCCGGTTGGTAGCTTTCAAGGAGCGAAGGGCAGGGATGAACCATGGAGCAGACCGAGTAAAATATACAGAGCGGGATTTGATGGGAGCAAATGAATTAAGGATAGAAACCAGACCGTTATTGTACTGAATGACAAGATCATCGGGAGTAGAGGACAAATTAGGGGTCAAGGTGGCAAAACTGGAGGACAGGGAGGCTAGATCAATGTCCTTAATATTACGAAAAGAAATGATACGTGGTGACTTGATGATGGAGAGACGGAGGGGAACAGAAAAGGAGATGAGGAAGTGGTCCGTGAAAGGGAGCGGGTCAGCTGTACAGTTGGAGGGGGTCAGGCCGGAGCAGCAGATTAAATCCAGGGTGTGACCTTTAATGTGAGTGGGAAAATTGGCATATTGATGAAAACTGAGGCTGTCCAAAGATGAGGAGAAGTCTTTGCTGAGGGGGAGGGCCATATTGTCCATATGAATATTAAAATCACCAAGTAAAATTACATTTGGGGAAAGGGCGGACAGATGGGATAAAAGAGCAGAGAGTTCATTTAAAAACTCAGGGCTGAACTTGGGGGGACGATAAACAGTGACAATTATTGTGGGGGTCGGGCCGGAGAGTTGACAGGCGAGGCATTCCAGAGTGGTGAGAGGAGGAAGGTTTACGGGAAGGACCTTCCAAGTCTCGCGATACAGTATCGCGAGACCACCGCCGCGGCCCGACCCACGGGGTTTGGAGAGGTAAACAAATCCGGGAGGAGTACAGTCATTGAGTTGTGAGAAATCGCTGGGTTGTTGCCATGTTTCGTTCAGACAAAGAAAGTCTAGCTTATGGTCACTGATGGTATCTTGGAGGAGATGTCCTTTACCAGAGAGGGAGCGAATGTTGAGAAGACCAAAATTAGCAGTGCGGAAGTCCCTGGCGACAGGAGCATTAGTCCGACTAGCCAGCCGGGCTAACACGCTGGAGTCGGCAGCTCGGCAGGTATTCCTGGGTAGCCGCCGGCTAGTCGTGGACCAGAAGGAGGGTATTCCTTTGGAGCCGTCGAGATGGAGGTTCCGCCGGGACCCCCGATGGATATACCGACGGCGAGGCTGGAAGGTGATGTCGGGGAAGAGGCACAGAGCTGGTGGTGGAGATCCGGAGTAGCGAAAGCGGAGGTTGGAGAGCTCCGCCGCCGAGTACTGGAGAAGGCCATCCACGGACAGAAGAATGAGCGACAGGATGATCCAGGCCAGTGCGAGGCACACAGAAATCCTGCTGGACCACATTATGGAGTGGAGCAGGGAGGTGGTGATGTGCAACCAGAACGCAAGCTGAGCAGGTAGGTGAAAATGAGTTTTCACCGACACAGGGATGTGACCAGGGTGAAAAAGAAGAAAAAAAAATACAAAAAGTTTGTTTGCCAGCGAGCAGCGGCAGCGAGACGCGCCAGCGTTCACTCAACCGGAACCGGAAGACAGGTGTGTGTGTACAGGAATAATGAACAAGGCTGCCCAAACGTTTGCATCACACTTTATTCTAACTTCAGCCTTCTGGCCCGCTGAAACAGGCAAGCGTTTTCATCTGTTCTTTACACATCGTGCTTGTTGTGTGAACTAACTCTTCAAAACAACATGACTGACTGACTCTGTGGCTTCTAGATTAACACAATAGAACAGTGATCCCCTCCCTTCCCTGAGGGATGGTATCCAGAGTGTTTCCCTAATGCAACACGCTTGATTCATCAAGGTCTGCAGAAGGCTGTTAATCACCTGCTGATTAAAATCAGGTGTGTTGAAGCAGGGAAACAACTAACACATCCTGGATGCCGGCCCTTGTTGAAGGGAGTTGGGGATCACTGAATAGACTCACTAAAACAATCAATCTGGTCCAGGGTAGTTGTCCATCAGTATTCCAGCTCTTATTGGGGCACAGGAAAGTGAGTAATTTCATTCACACTAACAGCCTGGACTTTAATCCAAACAGGGAGGCCACTGTAAGTGTCTGAATCCCAGTAGAGATTTAAAGATGTAAAAATGTTTCTTAGAAGATCGATGTAACTTGTTGAAGTTATGTTGTGAAGTAATGACCAATCATGGTTTTGTGCTTCTTTTATGGCACCGTATCGATTGTAAATGTGAACAAGGGGTTGGGAACTAGAACCAGTTCGATCTGAGCCACATAGTAGAACAAAATCAAACCTTGATCAATTAACAACAATTAAAATCACAAAATCACAGAGTTTTAATTTTGGAGATGTTTTTGTGCCCTGAAGCTTTTTCATTGTTGTGTCTGAGCTTTAGAGGCTGCTGATCCTTACAGGGTCACATTAAGCTGTGTGGATAGCTTAGCAAAAGTCTTCTCTGTTGGATGGCTGTTTGTGTGCACATATTCACAGTGTGTTACCGCCACTAAGATGTGAGTCACCTGATCTGGCAGAAACCAAAGTGCCATAATAATAATTATAAACCTTCAGTTTGGCAAACATATTCTTATAATTGGTGAGAAAAGTATAGGCCTACAAACAATTGCTCACTAAAATAATGAAAAAAACTGGCAAATCCACAATATTGTGAGAGGTAGAGAGATGTATCCAAAAATCATATTTTCACTGAAATAAGATGCGCAGCACACAGTCGGGCTCGGAAGTGTGTGTGTGTGTGTGTGTGTGTGTGTGTGTGTGTGTGTGTGTTTGACTCCTGGGCTTGGAGACACACATTTCCAGAAACCATGTTGGACCTGGTGCCAGTGAATGTAATCTGATGAAACAGTAAGGCTGGTTTGAGTCCCTGCTGCGTTGAATTAGACCGGACTCCGAAGTGGAGGAGCCTCCTTAAGGGTGGAGGCAAGTGGAGGGAGCAGAAAGAGGGAAGATCTCAGGAGTTGAACGTGGGGGTTTAGGTGAGATGGTAGAGGAGGGACAAAGCCCTGAGTGTGGGACAACAGTGCATGCTTCTCTTAAACTAGCACATGCTCCATTTATTAGAAAAGCATTATGTACACTCTGTTTTTGTACAAATTCACAAGCTCCCATTTCTGCAGTTGAAAAATAGGAATCTGAAAGGTTTTCACATTGATCTGTATAAATTTGTCTCCTGAAAAAAGAACTCCCCGCATGTAAACATTTATATAAGAAGAGATGTGATTTCTGTGAGACAGAGGAAGAAGACAGATGGAGAGTGAAAGCAGAGCCTTCCCAGTTTGGACTCCTCCAGTCTAAAAGCTGTCCAGTCTTCTGCTTTAGCTAATTTCAGAACACCATCCTTCAGGACAACCCATGTCTTTTGAGAAAAGTCTCCTTGTTGAAATCATGGAAGTAGTTGGGGTTACCCTTCACAGCCAAAGTGCAACATGAGTGAGCAGGCAGCGGTCACCATGTGCTCGTAAGCTTCCAGTGAAGAGCACAACAAGAAGAGGAAGCTCAAAGAGAAAAGCAAAGGCCAGGAGAGTTGGCCAGCTCCACGTCGAGGGCCTTCAGATTCGGCTTACCCTTCTGGTGTGGAGAGGGTGGATGGCTGGTGGAGGACACGGGGTGTAAGGAGGCGGCAAGGGGCCAGGTTTGATCCCACGGGTCCTCATGTAGGAAAGGAACTGGTCAGGGATTTCAGCTAGCACTTCTTTAGCCAGACGAGCCATGCTGAGGATGTGGTTTCCTCTCCGGTCGATGTAGTCTCTGAAGGGAACAAACTACAGGAGGAAGCAGAGAGGAAGGAAGAAGGTGTGAAACAGAAAATAACAGACAGAAATAAATTCAAAGGAAGTGTTGAGAAGCAGCTTAATCAGAAGGGAAAGCTGAGGGTAAAAAATTATGACCTTTCTCCAGAAAGCCAGTAGTAAGAAAGCCAGAATAAAAGAGAATACCAACACAAGGCCAAAGGCACAAAGCTTATTTTTCTAGAAGTAATCTGCTACAGCAGCCACCTCCAAACCCAAGTTTTATCTCATTTCATCTGAGATGAGTTACAAGACACCTGCAAAGATTCGATAAGAACATTTGTTCACTGACTACTTTGAAAACTCAAGTGGCTTTCTGGCAAAGCTCTAAAATCCTTATAAACGTTTTGAGGGTGTTTAGGGACTCTGATGAATGCTGTTTGCAACTTGTTTGCAACAGTTGCAGCTAAGCAAGGTACTGACATAACTTCTAAATCTCCCATTTCTGTGGAAATGTTCTGTAGAGCGAACAGTCTCACAACCCTTCAGATGTTTCTGTACCTGAACAATGTCCCTCTCCGCGTACCGCCCCTGGGATGAAATCCTCTCTTCATCTCCATCCAGCTCAATCATTTCTGTCAATTGAACCACATCAGTCAGGAGACTTAAACGGTCAAAGCTCTAGTGAGTAAACAAGCCACATGATGTCTGTGCTTCAATCGGCTCGTGTCGTTTGCATGCCACTGGCTCACATTTCCTCTGAGACTGTGTGGACTGATACAGAGAGTCTGCACGGCTGAGCGTGATTTCATGGGGCTGGAAGTTACAAATAACTGTGTTTAGGGGGAAGATGAGAGAATCTGTTTAGGCGAAGCCAGCAATGAGCACCACGGGGACATAATGCAGCCACGCACTGCAGCTTCAGAAGTGTGATAATTGTTGAATCCTGTTGACTTTATGGGCTCATTGCTCATAGGGAGTGAGCTTGTTCTCACAGAGGACTGCTCTGTGGTTTGTAAACAACAGGAGAGAGCAGGATAAAGGACAAAATAAAGCCCAAACAGCGAGGGAGCCATTGTCTATGCTCTATCCTTCTGGGGGAGGGGTTTAATGGGAAATGGTGGAAGTGGCAGAGAAGGTCTGAAGTAGGGGCTGCATGACTTAATTATTTTTAAAGTCGACAGTCAAGTAATGAAAATCAAGTCGACTTTGACTAGTCGTTGATGACGTCATACACCTGAAGCGGGTTGGTTCGCTGGAGTTTTTGAGAATTAAAATTGCGCCCACATTTTCAAAGTTAAACACATTTCTTTTAACAACTGTAGTTTCTGCACCTTCACTGTTCCCCTGCTTCAGCCCTGTCCCCCCTCCCCCTGCTTCAGCCCTCTCCCCCCTCCCCTGCTTCAGCCCTCTCCCCCCTCCCCCTGCTTCAGCCCTGTCCCCCCTCCCCCTGCTTCAGCCCTGTCCCCCCTCCCCCTCCCCCTGCTTCAGCCCTCTCCCCCTCCCCCTGCTTCAGCCCTGTCCCCCCTCCCCTGCTTCAGCCCTCTCCCCCCTCCCCCTGGTTCAGCCCTGTCCCCCCTCCCCTGCTTCAGCCCTGTCCCCCCTCCCCTGCTTCAGCCCTCTCCCCCCTCCCCTGCTTCAGCCCTCTCCCCCCTCCCCCTGCTTCAGCCCTGTCCCCCCTCCCCCTGCTTCAGCCCTCTCCCCCCTCCCCCTGCGCAGCGGCCGCAAACTCACTGATGCGACTGCAGCCTCTCGGAGTTCCTGCTGCTCTAAACATTAAAATAATTATTTCATTTTCTGTTCCTCACTTCTGATTACCTTCAATGGTGTCTGTTTGTTGCAACCACCAGGTACAAAAACTAACTTGTTTTTATTTGACTATTTTTCTGTCCTGCCTGTTTATTATCTTCCTGCATCTCCTCTCAGTCCTAAAGAAAAACTGCTACCTGGGTTCATATATATTCACCTTATGAGTTACCTTTGAACTGCAGTTCTAAAAGATCTACCGACCACAAAAACAGCGGAGTGCTCGCCGGCCACATCAGTTAGGTGCGTCACCGAGGACAAAACAGGTGATGCGCCCCGATCCACAGCAGCGAAACGCATCAGGCACAAATAAAAGAATAAAAGACAGAAAACATAAAAGGAAATGAGCCGACATGAACGATCGCGTGTTAAATTAGTTTTTGAGGTGGCGACACCTGATTTGATAATGTTACTGTGGCCGTGCTCAGGACGCAGATGTCTGGAGCGCGTCAACAATCAGAGCTTTGCATGTGCAAGCTGGTTAAGATTAGGATGGGGGTGAGGGGAAGGTTAAATTGCAAGAGGGTAGACGTCACAATTTGGTTAAATGTCCATTTTACGGCGGGTGTCAGTACCGACGCTCTGGCACAGCACGTTGCCTCCCGACGCGCAGCGGCTCATCACCTGCTGTCTTTTCCGAGGACTGCATCTTGCCGGTCATTATCACGTGACAGCGACTAGTCGATGATAGGCATAACAAGTCACTATAGAGCGGTGAAGTTAACTAGTCGATACAGCCCCTAGTCTGAAGCATGTGTGAGATGAGATGGGAAGCAGAGGAAAGGGTTAAGGCAAAATATTACTATGCACTAATTAACACACACACACACACACACACACACACACACACACACACACACACACACACACACACACACACACACACACACACACACACACACACACACAAAGCTCACCATCAAATTCCGCTGGTCCCACCCCCACTATGATGATGGACATGGGCAGAGAAGCAGCCTGGAAAATGGTGGAAGGAGATAAATCAAACACATCAAAGGCTCGGTATGTCACCATCTGTTATCCTGAACCTCACAGGCTGTCAGTGAAAACCTGCAAATTACTAAGTGCACGTTAACCGTCCGTAGACTGGAGGCTCGGTAGAAAAATTCATCGCCGTTGTTAAGACAGCTGGGGTTTGTCTAATTCAGCATGTTTCATGCAGCCTCCTGCTGAGCCCATTCCTAATTTCATGCATCTACAACCATCTCTAAATCTCCCATAGCTCATCTGCTCAAACACGACTCCCATTTGCATCCACCTCTGGCCTGTGCCTCAGCTCCAGCTACCAATCTGCATCGCAATATTGTTTATTAAATCTTAGCTGAGCAGGAAAGTAAAATGAAGTTCGAGTGATGGATGAAGGTTTTTCAGCCTTTCATACCTTCCTGTTATTAGAGAGAGGCCCAAATTGCCTAAGAAATGCGGGACACAGAACCTCCGCGGGCTGCTGAATAATTACTCTCAGATCTTACTGTACTATGAGATTACATCACATGAGGGAGGAGGCCGAGTGATGGCGAAGCTATTGGGGTTCCTAATGTTTGAGCTACCACCAAATCATTAAGTCTTATTAGAGAGGAGAGTTATCAGAGCTGAACACAACAGGACTGGGGGGTCCAAAAGAAGGAAGACGGGGGTAACATTGCTCCTCTCATTAGTGAAGATAAGAGACTGAGAGTAGAAAGCTCTATAAAGCACATAGCTTTTTATAGTCTCCCTTTCATTTAGGAAGTGCGCTGGTTTATCAGAAACTTTGTTGGAGTTTTAATTACTACTGCACCTCCAGGGCTCCTAGAAAATTTCACTTTAACATAAATAAGGCCAAAGCACACAGCCTGCTGCTGTCCTAATAACTGTGGGTCTGGTGGATGGGATGGGAGCAGGGCTGTGCAATAGGGCCAAAGTCACATAACAGTAGAAGTCCTGTCATGATCTGTAACATTATTAGTGCTGCTACGATTTGTCGATTCCTCACGATGATGTCGACAAAAGAAATAGTTGACTATAAATTTAATAGTTATCGTCATATGTTTTAAGAGGATTTTGTAAATCTCGCTGCTTTCTTCCTTTCTCCTCGAGGCACATGCGCAGTAGTGGCCATCCAGATCAGCCTTCGAATCAGAATCACTGCAGAAAGATGACATCACGGCGAGTCGGCAACGTAGCTCACTCGTTTGGGAGCACTTTACAAAGACAAAAGAGAAGCAAGTAGAGTGCAAACTCTCTAAGTGAAAGTCTCCTTTCACAGGAGCACATCGGCGATGCACGAGCACCTTAAAAGGAAGCACGTCATGGCGGAGAACGAGAGTCGCCTCTGTGAGCTAGTTACCTCTTGTTAGCTGCTAACACCAACAGAGTTACTTGTATTTATAGGTGTAGCAATAACATTAGTGATGGCGATTTAATTACCTTTAGAACAAGTATGTATAGCCTTTTTCAGACGGACATTCTGGAACATTTGCGGACAATTCAATCCGGTTTTTAACCGGAACTGTGTTTTCAGACACACCACTTTTGTACCAGAACTTGTCCTTTCGGCTGCGTTCACACAGCAGGGAAAAGTTCCAGATGTCTGACGACGGCGGCGGCAGGGGGTGGGGTGGGGGGGAATCGGACTTATGTTAAGAAGAAGAAGAAGAAAATATCATTTCTATAGCGCCTCTCAAGATAAAAATCACGAGGCGCTTAAGCATAATTCTGCGCCCACGAAGACGCATAAGAGACCTGGATGATGAAGCTCAATGGTTAAAGGAATCACTGAAGCGCTGTGAAGCGCTCCGTCACGCGTCTAGGCGGTACCGTAGGAGGCGAGCTGCCGTGGTTCGCCGCATGCTACAGCAGCGAGCTATCTAGGTGCGCACAGCGTCCCCCGGTCCCCTCCTCCCCCTCCCCCTTGTCCGGAACTTTACCTCACCACTCTGAAGCAGTCACTCTGTCCGTAACAAGTCCGGACCTGTTACTAGGGGCTTCGTCCGGATAAATTCCGGAACATGTTATCCGGATGTTTGTATTCAGACAGAACGGTCTTACGGACAGATTCCGGAACATTTCCGTTTTTCATGGCCTGTCTGAAGGGGGCTTATGTAACAGATTTGCTTTAACGTTACAAACAGTAATGATTTCTTTTATCCCGCTACGTTAGTGTTAAAAACACTCCTCCTCTTCAGTGGACGAGTTTATTACAAAGCCAAAATGGCTACTTTAGCTGGATACATCTGTGAGCACAAGTCATTTTTGTGTACAATTTATTTGTGGTTTTAGGTGCCTACTTCTATTTGTCTGTGCAGCATTTGTAGTAACAGGTCACACAGTTAATAAAACGTGTTTGATAAGTTACAATCTAGTCTTTATTAGCCGATGGCACATACCTGATCACACTCCAAACTATAGGCTAACGATGGGTCTATTAGAGCATCCCGGTGAAACAAGCTATGCATATTTGCATGGCACAACAGTGTTTCCCCTAGAAATGTTTCCACCCGTGGCAGGTGTGTGTGTGTATTCACGGACCGTTTTGCGGCCAAGCGTTAGCCGTGAGTAGAGGGGTGTGTGTGTGTGTGTGTGTGTGTGCACTCGAGACTGTTTCGCTGCTGTGTGCCGCCCGTAAGAGCGCGGGGAGGGGGTGGGGGGTTGGACTGTTTCGCGGGGCAAAAAATCCTGCCATGTAGGGGAAACAAAACTGTCGATTAGTCTACTATTAAAATAGTCGTTTATGGCATCCCTTATACACTATGGTGCATTTCAGAACATCCTGCTGATGTACTTTCATGTGGAGGAGGTAGCTAAATGCTATCTCGTTTTCAGTCTGTTTGATCTGTATTGTGTACTAGATATCTGGATGTAGCCCTAGACTTATCTTAGACATTTCAAAGCTTAAAATGAAGTTCTACTGACTTTAAATGACAATATTTAAACTGTAGCCAGCTACAAAAAACATGGTGCCCCTTTGCAGCTAAGTGCAGGTGGCGTCAGGGAGCCTTTGGTCATTCATAAGTGGCGTGATCACATGTTTTTTCCAAAAGATTACAAGACGGCAGTTAAAAGGGTGTTTTCAGGAGACGCTTGAAAAGGTGGCTGCCCATCACAGTCCCCCTGAAATGTCTTGCAACCTGTTTTTCAGCTTTAAAGACCATAAGTTCCCATTTCTGTTGCAGGAAAGCGTGATCTTCATTCAAAAGACTACTGTTTCAGTAATGTTCCTATCAAGCTTGGCGGCACGAATGAGATACATTTTCTTGCCTTGCCATGGCACCCTGACACATTCAAAAGACACACCATTGCAGCAGAATTATCCTGATATGTTGCCATTGTGTCTTTTAAAACCAGTTTGTGAGATAGTTATGAAGAGGCACAGAAAACATCAAAGCCTCGTTTTCAAATTATAGCTTATACAATAACACATAAAGAGGTAGATATGGGACAGGTTACTGTACATTGACTATGGACTCCTTGGTCTGCGCCATGTCTGTGATCACACCATCAGAGATGATGAGAAGGATGAAGTACTGAGAGCCGTCTGTTATCGCCGATGCATACCTGTCATCAGAAAAAACATGAAGGAAGAAGTGAACTAGGTTTGGAAAGTAATAGAAATGCATTTAATGTGTAAAATTCTTCTCTGTCCCAGGGAGAACATTGTGAGGAGAACATTGTGATAGCATGGATATGGATGTTATTTAGTTAAGAACTTGCTGGAGATGCCCTTTAATAAGCCTCTGTCTCAAGCCCATTTCAATGCTTAAGCAATTGCATTTTAGCAAAACATAAACAGTCCCCCTTTATATTTGGAAAACACTCCTCAGAGATCAATAAAATGATTGGCAGATTGTCCAATTAGAAAGTCATCTCTACTGAAATAATGTACGTCACCAAAAATGTGGGATGAGCAGTTTCTTGTTGTTGACAGCAATAATTACTATTATCACTATATTTAGCACAAAGCATATTCCGATGTGAAAACAAAATATGATGTTGAGTAAACCAGTGGTTGGACCACTCTTTATATTGCAGTTCTAACTATGACATGTATCGTATGAGTAGTAGAACTGGGTATTGATTCAAGTTTTAAGAACTGACTTGATTCACATTCTCAAACATTAGAATCGATTATCACAAGCCGATCCAATTCAATCCATTCCAGTTTGATATTGATATGGGTCAGTGCTATTAAAAACATTTAGAGCTGTTACCTTAATTATATGCTCAGAATTCAGTGACGAAACACTGAGTGAGTTAGCTCTGGATCTGGACTCTGATTGGCTCTTTTCTCATCTAGCCCTGCCTCTCCCAACTGCTGACTGGTTCGTTTTTCCATTCATGTATCCATTTTCAAAATTTCCATTTTGTGTTTGGATTTAGTTAATTATGGTTGTCACCTTTTATTTATCGACGTAAAAAATCAGCAAAACAGCAAAGCTGCAAAAGGTGAACCGCGTTTGAGGGACTAGTGTCTTCATAATAGATTTTTTATTTTTATCAACACAGCACTAATGAGTAGCCATACACATTTATTGATGTAGTTTTTAGGTTAAACTGATCAGGATAATTGCTTTTGAATGTATGAACTTTTGTCCTATTTAGTCTTTAAATAATATTTACATGCACTTCAAGGGCATGCTGATTATATTCAGGTCCAGATTAACAAGGATTGTGCAGCTCCTACTCTGAGCATCATATTCCCTAACCCTGCTTCCCCTAGGTTTCACAAAGTAAACAGAAGTTATTTGCTAGTCTGAACTCAGAATGTCTGTGCAATTTGGACTTTTTATTAGCATCTGATTGCTGTTGTTTTATTTGGACAATTTAAAGGTAGGCCTCAGAAAAAAAGCAAAGAAGATATTTCTCCTCTGCTTGACTGCCTGTCTGACCTGATCTAAACTACTGGGCTCATTTACATCATGTAAACATTCACAGACTGCACTAGAGAGACACTCGTTGGCTGGCAGTGCATAATGAGGGACACATGTCCTCTGTGATCGGTCCTGAAAACAAGAGAGAGATCATTTTAGCAGAACTACAGAATTTCACACCTTCTCACTGTGAGAAATCTGGGCGTCTTTTTTGATTGAGATCAGTTTTAGTCCACATATCAAAAATTCAATCCAAATTCAATTCAAAAATACTTTATTGATCCCAGAGGGAAATTGATTGCTGTAATAGCTCAGAATAATAATAATAATCAAGTCATCAAGAGTTGTTGTATATTACAATGGCTGTTGGCAGGAAGGATCTCCAGTAGCGGTCAGTGTTGCAGCCAAACTGAAGAAGCCTCTGACTGAAGACACTCTTCCGTTGTCGGACAGTCTTGTGAAGATAATGCTCAGGGTTGTCCATCATTTTCTTGATTCTCTGGAGAATCCTTCTTTGCATTATCTCCTCCAGTGGTTCCACAGTCGTCCCCAGAACAGAACCAGCCTTTTTTATTAGGCTGTTGAGCCTTTTCAGGTCCCTGCTTCTGATGCTGCTACCCCAACAGAGGATGGTTGAAGAGATTACACTCTCAACAACAGACTTGTAGAAGATCTGCAGCATCTTGCTACAGACATTGAAGGACCTAAGCGTCCTCAAGAAGTGCAGTCTGCTGTGTCCCTTCTTGTAAACAGCTTTGCTGTTCTTTCTCCATTCCAGTCTGTTGTCCAGGTGAACTCCAAGGTATTTGTATTCCTCAACCACCTCCACTTCTTCTCCCATGATGGAAACAGTGTTTGACCCCACCCTGTTCCTTCTGAAGTCTAAAATCATCTCCTTTGTTTTGTTCACGTTCAAGGTCAGATGATTGTTTCCACACCATGTCACAAAGCGCTCCACCAGCTCTCTGTACTCAGCTTCCTGTCCATCTCTGATACACCCGACAACTGCAGAGTCATCTGATTATTTCTGTAGATGACAGGTCTCTGATTTGTACTGGAAGTCTGAGGTGTACAGGGTGAAAAGGAATGGTGAGAGTACAGTGCCCTGTGGTGCTCCAATGTTACTGATCGCCTGGTTTTATGTGCAGTTCTTCAGCCTCACAAACTGTGGTCTGTTTGTCAGGTAGTCTTTAATCCAGGTGATAGTTGAGGCCCCCACCTGTGTCTTCTGGAGTTTCTGGCAAAGTACATCAGGCTGGATTGTGTTAAATGCACTGGAGAAATCAAAGAACATGACCCTCAGTGCTGCCTGCTTTGTCCAGATGACAGTGGGTTGGTTGAAGCAGCTGGATGATGGCATCTTCAACTCCAACTCCATGGCGATAAGCAAACTGCAGCGGGTCCTGATATGTTCTAGTTTGCTTATTCAGGTAGACCAACAGGAGTCTCTCCAGGACCTTCATGATGTGGGATGTCAGGGCAACCAGTCTGTAGTCGTCATTGACTGATGGGCGAGTTTTCTTTGGAACTGGAACAAGGCAGGATGTCTTCCACAGGACTGGAACCTTCTCCTGGGCCAGGCTGAGGTTGAAGAGGTGCTGCAGAATCCCACAGAGCTGCTCTGCACAGGCCTTCAGTACTCTGGGGCTGTCACCATCTGGGCCTGCAGCCTTGTTCCTTGTTGGCTGCAAGATGGCGTTGCAGACGGCTGCCTTGGTACTTTGGTGCCCTGTGATTGTTCTGTTTTTGTGTGTAAATTTAGTATCTGGGTTCTCTTACTCAAGAGAAGAACTCATAAGTTACAACACTTTGATTTCGGTGGACTTAACCTCGTTTTTTGTTGCATCCGGGGCCGATTCAATAACAGCTTTGATCAGGAAAGTGAGACCAAGGAGGAGAGGTAAACGAGCGGGCGCGCTCGTGCGTCTGAGGAGACGGGGACTGCGCATGGCTCTACCTGGGATCTTCCTCTCTAATGTGCGCTCACTCCACAACAAAATGGACGAGCTGACCCTGATGAGGAACATAAACAGAGACTTCTCCTCATCTGGGGTTCTATGCTTCATTGAAACATGGCTCAGTGAGGACACCCACGACTGCGTGCTCCAGCTGGAGGGGTTTCACCTCATCCGCGCAGATCGGGAAGCGACTCTCCCCGGCAAGACTGCAGGTGGAGGTGTGTGTTTGTACATCAATAATGGTTGGTGCAAAGATGTCACAGTGATCGCGCAGCATTGTTCTCCATCTCTGGAATATCTTTTCACAAACTGTGAACCATTTTACTCTGCGCAGGAGTTCGCCTCATTCATTCTAGGAGCTGTTTACATCCCACCTGACGCGGACGTTCACGAGGCTCAGCGTGCGCTCGCGGAAGAGATACTGTGCATGGAGCGGACGTACCCGGATTCACTCATCATTGTACTTGGAGACTTTAACAAAGCTAATCTGAGCCAGGAGCTTCCCAAATATAAACAGTACATCAAATGTCCAACCAGAGAGGGGAAAACCCTGGACCACTGTTACAGCACAGTAACAGGAGCCTATCATGCAGTAGCGCGTGCTGCGCTTGGACTCTCTGACCACGTGACCATCCATCTGATCCCAGCTTACAAACAAAGGCTAAAACTCTCCAAGCCTGTTGTGAAGTCAACAAGACAGTGGAACACAGATGCCGCAGATGAGCTTCGCGCATGCTTTGAGACCACAGACTGGGAGGTAATGAAGGCCACCTCAGACAGTTTAGATGAGTTCACAGACACCGTCACCTCCTACATCCACTTCTGTCAGGACAGCATCAACCATCACACACCAGGGTGAGTTATAACAATGACAAAGCCTGGTTTACACCTAAACTCAAAAATCTGTGGTTAGAAAAGAGAGATGCATTCAAAAGGGGGACAAGGACTCCTACAGAGACACTAAATACAGGTTCAGCAAAGAATTGGTCGAAGCAAAACACCAGCATCATGACAAAATGCAGCAGCAAATCTCTGAAAACGACCCAATCTCTGTGTGGAAAAGTTTCAGGAACATCACCAACTACAAACCCAGAACCCCCGCCTCCACCGATAATCTGCTCTTGGCAAACAGCCTAAACAATTTCTATTGTTGGTTTGATGAGCCATCAGGCAGGCCTCACTCCTCGTCCAGCCCCAACAATAGAGACATTGGTCAGCCACTCCTCACTACAGAGCCATCACCATCACTGTGGAATTTACCTTCATCACCCTCCCCCTCACTCCCCACTGATGAGGTGTTCACATGACACACCTCCACCACAAATCTACACATTCATGAAGCAGATGTAAAGAAGCAGTTCAGGTCTCTTAACACACGAAAAGCCCCGATGGCGTGGCTCCTGCCACTCTAAAGCACTGTGCTGAAGAGCTGGCCCCAGTGTTTACGAGCATCTTCAACTCCTCACTGGAGGAATCTCATGTGCCTGCCTGCTTCAAGATCTCCACCATAGTCCCTGTCCCCAAGAAACCAAGAATCACTGGACTAAATGACTACAGACCTGTGGCTTTGACATCTGTGGTCATGAAGTCATTTGAGCACCTAGTTCTCCCCCACCTCAAGACCCTCACAGCCCCCCTCCTGGACCCCCTGCAGTTTGCCTACAGAGCAAACAGGTCTGTAGATGATGCAATCAACATGGCTCTACAATTCATCCTGCAGCATCTAGAC